TTTAAAAAAGGCGAGACAAATGTCATATTCAGAAAAAGAGTTTATTGTGCGTGCTTCCACATCAAAAATAGGTCCAACTATGGCTCATAAGGTTAGGGCAAGTCTGAGAGGTGGGTATGAGTTTGTAAAGCCCAAAGTAGTTGCTATAAAAATTTAAGGAGAGATATCAACAAGGTTATTGGTTATAAAGATGCCCAAATGATAGTAAACACAATGAATGACCGTCGAGCTCACTATCCAAATTTACTCATTTGAGTTTAATTGTTAAGATGATGTTTTGGACTGTATGTTTTGGGCTGATGAAATGGAGAAGGCATATTATGCTGAATTTGGTGATGTTATCTCGTTTGATGCGACTTTCCGAACAAACAAGTAAGTTATTTTATCTACTTTTGTTTATAGCTTATTCATATATGAATATTTCTATATTCACTTATTAATACATCAAAAATTGACTTTAATGAACATTTTTTTTGTGTGTTAGGTACTGAATGGTTTTTGTTTCGTTTAATGCTATTGACCATTATAAAAAACCGGTTACTATTGGATCTGGGTTGCTAAGGAATGAAAGCATTGAGTCTTACTCTTGGTTGCTTAAAGTATTTCTTAAAACTCATGGGAAAGAACCAACACTTGTTTTAACCAATCAAGATGTTGCAATAAAACAAGTTGTTGAGAATGTGTTTCGTAATTCAAAGCACCGATTATGTATGTGGCATATAATGAAAAAGTTGAAACAAAAAGGTATTATTTTAATATATTTCAAATATATTACTTATTAGTATATTCATTTATGAATATTGATTGTTATTTTACTTATTATTATTTATTCATTTATGAATATTTTTGTTTTAATACAGATATCAGATGATTTATTTACAAACACAGACTTTAGAAAAAGGTTTTCGAAGCTTGTTTGGGACATTAATATGAAACCTGATGTTTTTGAGGTGAAGTGGGGTTTGCTTATGAAGGAATTCAATCTTGAAGACACAAGATGGTTTAAAGACATGTTTACAATACGTGATTCATGGATACCTGGATATTTTAGTGATATTCCAATGTGTGGTTGATGAAGACTACATCGAGGTCAGAGAGTATGAATTCATTCTTTAATACATATTCAGAAAGTGGGAGCTTACTTTTGAATTTCATGATGAATTACGACACTGCCATTCAAAAGCAAAGGAATACTCAACGAGAGCTTGATAAGGCATCAAAGAAAGCATCATATAAAATGCAAACACCTCGAGAAATAGAACTGCAAGCATCAAAGGTTTATACAAGTACATTATTTTTTGAGGTGCAAAAAGAAATATATAAAGCATGTTTTTTCTGTACATACTCATGTGTTGGTATTGAAGATGGTTGGGAAGTTTACATTATGCAGCACAACAACAGTAAAAGTGATTTTAAAAATGAATTTACGGCAATTTTACTTGTTTTTTTTTATGAAAAATGTAATAATATTCATATATGAATATGAGAATATTCATATATGAATATCAATATTCATATATTCATATATGAATATTATATGAATATATGAATATATGAGTGTTGATATGAGTATTCTTATATGAATGTAAATGTGTAAATTTTGTTTTTGTATCAAGTTGAAATAAAAGCTGAAGACAAAGAAATAAATTGCAGTTGTGAACATTTTAAGCGTATGGGTGTTTTATGCAGACATGCTTTTACAATAATGATGAGATATGGTGTTAAAGAAATTCCTGAAAGGTACATTTTGAAGAGATGGAGAAAGGATGTGATATCAAGAATCTATCGTTTTAGTTCTGTTCAATCCGATTCAGGTGATTGTGAGAATGTAAAGCTAGTCAATGATTCATATTATAGTTTTGAATCATGTTTGGATATTGTAAGAGATAACAAAAGGAGATTGGCTTTGTTTGCTGAGAAACAACAAATGTTGTTGAAGGAATTTGAGAGTGATTATATTTCTCATGGATTGAAAAGCAAGACAGATGGTGAAGTCGTATGCAAGCTTTTGGGTGTTACTATTCCTATTCCAGAAGAGATTAATATTCATGTTCCTGAAGTTCAAAGCAATAAAGGTTCTGGAATCAAGAAAATAATTCCAAGTGCAGGTGAAGTATCATATGAAAATTCTAAAAAAGAACATAGAATGTGTTCAGGATGTGGAAAACAAGTTCCACACAATTTACGTACTTGTCTAGAAAGAGTTGGAGCTGCTAAATCAGCAAAAGACAGTTAGGGATTTTTTAGTTTTTTTTTTTATGTTTTTTGTTTTATTCATTTATGAATATATGCAAATAAAAACAATAAACAATAATATTCATGTATGAATAGTACACATTTATATTGATATGGTAAATTGTATGTTGATATTTGTATTTTAAATTACTATAAAATAAGTTATATTGATATTGTAAATTATTTATAAATGAATACAAATATGTGAAATTTGTCATACTAATAAATAAGTAATATTCATATCTGAACTTTTTTATGTTAATATCTGAACTTTGTTATACTAACATATTACTTTGAACTTATTCATAAATGAATATATCATATTCGTATTCATTTATGAATAAATAAAAATAAAGTTTGAAAATATTTGAATATAAAAAAATGACATAAATAAGCAAACTTGTTTCTACTAATAAGTTAGTTATATTCATATATGAAATTTGTTATATTCATATATGAACTTTGTTATACTGACATATTACTCCTAATTTAATCATAAATGAATATATCATATTAGTATTCATTTATGAATAAACAAAAATAAACTTTGAAAATATTTAAATATAAAAAACTGACAGAAATAAGCGAAGTTGTTTCTATTACATAATCATTCAACACAAGATAATAAAAGTTGTTCATAAGCATTTCACAAAATATTAAAATGATGTTCAATAACATTTAACAAACCATTTAAAACTTGTTTCGCAGAATCATCTTACATGTACTTCAAATCCATTCATCTTCAACACAAACTGTTCTATAGCATCACACTTCAACATTCTATCATCTTCACAAGCAATCATCAATATTCTTTTAACCTTTTTTGAATTATTTGCATAGCCTTGTATGCATGATCAATACGCACTTTGAATTCAACTTTTTGATATTTTTCAGCAAGATCCAACACCTTAGCCTTCAACATGTTAATTTCAGAATTTAGCATTATGTGTGCATATCTTGGCCTGAGCTTCTCTAAAGTAGTTTGCTGAACTGCACTTTCTTTATGAAGACCTGGTTTCCACTTTGAGAGTGGTTGTCCCATATAGGTCTCCATATGTCTCATTGTGAAGACCCTACAGTCAAATTTGTTTTTAACTGTTCTCCATAACATTTCTAGTCGTTGGGGTTTGATACTTTCTTTTGAGATTGCATTTGAGTATTCTTTGTGTAATCTTGAAGTTTTGAAGAGAAGGAGAAGGCTAGATTCAAAGAAGAAGAAGAATATCCAAGTTTTTGCTCCCATTTCAGAGTATTTTGAGGTAATAATCGGTTTCTTCCTGTTTTGATGATTGATTCTCCTTTATAAGCATATTTAGCCCATTCTTTAGCTTGTTCATAGTAGAGAAACCATGTTGGATGGGTTAGCTTCCGAATCTAGCCATGTTTTAGTTTCAAAAAACGTAGATCTATTAACTTTATGGAGCCATTTTGCATGTTAGCCCTAGATCTACTCTTCCAAGTGCCTTTTTAGCCTTTATATCCTTTTGTATGCATTTGTACACGTAAAGTTGGGAACTTTACGTGGTAAACCAGCCTTAGGAACTCAGGTCTATATATTGTATGCAGTGGTTTTGAGCAGAATCGAGTTTTTAGTGATTGCAAGTATGGGACTCGGCGAGTCGTTCTTCGGACTCGACGAGTCGAGTCGCGAGTCCCCAATTCTTCCCCGTTGAGTGATTCCGAGTGGGAACCAGTGAATAGTGGAATGGACTCAGTGAGTTAGAGGTTAGAATCAGTAATGGAAGGACTCAACGATTTGTTCATACAACTCGGCGAGTCCAAGGCAATCTTCTTAAGATTCAAGAACAACTCGTCGAGTTGTTCATACAACTCGGCGAGTCGGATGTAGATGACCTAATTGTTGGAATAGAATGGGAACTCGTCGAGTATATGCCATACTTGACGAGTAGCAGCGAGCAGGGTTGATAAATGAGAGTAGAGACTCGGCGAGTTGGCGGCCCAACTCGGTGAGTCAGGTCAACTGAAAGTTGACTTTGACCAGGAGAGTTGACTTTAGCCAGGGGTAAAAGAGTCATTTTACCCCAATGCAGTTATTAGTATTTGATTGAGTATATTTGTGAAATTGTAGCTGGGGAGATACCGGAGCAGCAGCAAATAGTTTCTAGAGCCACACACTCAGCAGCCAGATCACGAGGTGAGTTTCCTTTAGGTAGGAACGGGTCTAAGGCCACAATGCCGGCCCGTTTAGCTAGTAGTAGTTTCCGGACTTCGGTCTGATGCAGATTTTAGTATGTTTGATGCCTTCGTGGCTCAGACATAATTTTTGTGTTATGTGTTCCGGGTTACAGCCCGATGTAGTATGCTATTTATGTGCTCATGTTAGTTGATATGCTTATGTTATGCTATGTTCAGTAGTTACGGACTTCTGTCCGATGCAGTCAGTTTTGGACTTCGGTCCAATGCAGTTAGTTCTGGACTTCGGTCCGATGCAGGAGGCAAGGCCTCAGTAGTTCCGGGTTTCGATCTGATGCAGAGGGCAAGGCCCTGGTTAGTTCCGGAATTTGGTCCGATGCAGTTTCCGGACTTCGGTCCGATGCAGTGGGCAAAGCCCAGTATGTGTTTATATGTATTGTATGGTATGTGGTAGTTTGGGGGAGCTCACTAAGCTTCGTGCTTACAGTTTCAGGTACTTCCGTAAGCAAAGGGAAGAGCTCGGGTTGATGACATCGCACACACCACAACTTCAGTTGTCCTGGGAGTTGTTTTTAGTTTTTTTTCATAGATGGGATTTGATATATTATTGATACAGTTTACTCATAACACTTTGCTATTGTTTTTGAGATATTGACGTACGAGTTTTACCTTATGATATTATCATGGTGTTTTTAGTAATTATTAAACAAAAAAAAATTTGGGTTGTATTTTGGGATGTTTCACTTAGTATTATGTAATAACAGTTAAATAAAAAGTTTGAGAATTTTTATCCTTTGAATGCTATTTTTCGTGAATTTATGTTGTTATAAAGACTTAAAAATTTGGAAAATTTATATTCCAAAGTTGTAATTAATCGCACGACTTGTAGAATTTCATTATTTCAGAAAAAGTGTAACCAATTAATATAAAATCCAATACTAAAACATAAATTGGCATTTCACTATATGTAGAGTTTAGTGTATTAGCATTAGATTTCGACATGGAAACTCACTAGTGCGTGTTTGATGTCGTAGGATCCCAGTAGTAAGACGTTGGTGCATTCCAAAGTACCACTTGTATCTACTCGAAACATTGTGAGTATTCACGTACTCCCCTATTTTTGGTTTTTATGTTTTGGGGTGGAAAATCATGTCCAGAAAAACTATTGTTTGCATGTTGTATTTAAATTGATTATTATCAAACATGATTGCTATTGTATTGCTATGTTTCTTTATGTATGTCTATGCAACACGGAACATGAGAACTTATCGTACTAAGGCCCTTCCCTTATCTCTAACCATTAACTCTTTGAGCCAATGGTCATTATGGATAGCGCTATTAGGAATTGACAACTCCTCACTCGCCCTATTACTGGAGTGCATGATACCATATTCATCTATGGAACGATAAGCATAGATCTCGATAGGGCTTCAGTCATAGGTTTGGTTAAGACTCATTGTTTGCTCATACACATACAAACTCGTTTCTCGTTATAGCAATAAACTTGTATTCATTAATAGCAATCAACTTTGTTTATCATTAAAGCAATGCACTTGTAATTACGAAAAGCCTTATTTCAAGCTCGATTTTATAAACTTGTGAACTCACCAACTATTTTCATAGTTGACGCTCGTTTTACATGCTTTTTTAGGAAATAATTAGTAAGTGGATGTAAAGATTCATCATCATAGAGCATGTTGCATCGTGTTGAAGCTATTATGAAGTTATATTTTGAACAATGTTGTTTTGGAAAAATTTGTACTTTGTTTCTTTTAAGCTATGGGTTGTAAACTTTTAAATCCTGCTATGGTGATGTATCTTTATCTTTTGCAATGAAACCGTTATCGCTGTCATATCTTGCGTTTCCGCTTTAGCGGGGTGTGACAACTGCGTACGCACTTTGAGTCGACTTGGTTGGGTTGACTTAGTTGACCTAGTTGGTTTGACCAATTAACTTTGCCAAGTTTGACCAAGTTTGACCTTGAGGGTATTTTAGGATTTTGATTTTGATTGGTCACTTAGAGGAATAGGTGCCGGTTGGAGCTAAGAATTGGAGTTAGGACCTCATCTGCTTCTGTTCAATTTGTGAGGTGAGTTTTCCTCACTGTACTAACAGGGTCGAAGGCACCAATGCCGACCCTTTTGGATTGTTATCCTGGTTTATCGTATGCTCGTATGCTGTGGTGATCTGTTAGATCGATATCCTGGTAGATAGGATGATGTTATGCTTAGTGATCTATTAGATATGCTTGTTATCTGTTTTGGCTATATGTTTCTAGTAGCATCTGTTGATGTAGTGGGGTTGGGTTGAGACTGTGCTGCTTTGTGTTGCCAGTCAACAAACCCTATAATATTTATATCAGTATGTTATATGCCTGTTTATTTGTTATGTGTGTGTCGACATGTGTGTGTGTGTGTGATCGGGTTGAGGCGGTCCTGCTTTGTGCTCAAGGCTAACAGACCCAGGGTGGCCCGGATAGACTGAAGACCCTGCGAGGCGGACCAGTCAGGCCGAAGGCCCAGCCAACGGTCCGGATAGACTGTAGGCCCTGCAAGGCGGTCCAGTAATGTCGAATGATTGAGAACGGTTCGGATAGGCTGTAGGCCCTGCGAGGCGGTCCAGTCATGTCGAAGGCTCGAGAGCGGTCCAGACAGGTTGTAGGCCTTATGAGGCAGTCCAAACAGGTTGTAGGCCCTGTGAGGCGGTCCAGACAGGTTGTAGGACCTGTGAGGCGGTCCAGACATGTTGAAGGTTCGGTATACATGATGTTATTTGTATATGTGTTGCTATTTGTGTGTTGGTAGTTTGGGGAACTCACTAAGCTTTGGGCTTACGGTTTCAGTTTATTGTTTCAGGTGCTCCAGATGTTTTGGCAAGACCAAGGCGTGACCGTACACATCCTTGCGTTTTGAACTTATGGTTTATGAGGAACTCTGATAATGTGAATGATTTGAAAACTATGTGTAAATGATTCCGGTTTTAAATAAATGTTTTGGAAACAACGGTTTTGTAAACACTTCTATAGAAAAATGATTGTTTTGGAAAGTTTACATTTTAATGAAATTTTATAGATGTTACAATTACAGTTTTCTTATATATTTTTACAAAATAACTCGAACAAATCAACAGTCAACATTTATCATTTCAAATAGATTGTAGTAATTTTATGTCATTTTTTTTTCGGAGAGTGTTATAAGAAAACCCAAAGAACAAAATATGTGAAAATGAATTTGTTTACCTGGAATTAAGGATGAGCAAACGGACCGGGGAACCGGCCGGAATCGGTCCCAGACCTGGAACCCGATGGAACCGATCGGGCCGGGACTGGTACTATAATTTTGTAAATTTTTGGAACCGGGACCCGGTAAGAACCGGCCTTTGGAACCGGCTCAAAACCAAGAACCGAACCAGATAGTCTTTACAAAACATCCCATGCCTTTGTCACTTGCACTTTTTTAGAAGATTCTTTTTTAGATTGAAATTATCAAAGCTAAACAGTAGATATTAATGAGCAAACCACGGTGTTTAGCATTATGTATTTTGGTAAAGTACATCTTCGAAATACAATTCACCCCATTCCTATATTTTTCACAAAATGATAAAATTCAAACAGCTTAATATATTCAGCCTTCTTAGCTTTCTTTGGAGATTTAGCAGCTTAATAAGGACTTGATGGCTCCTTAGCAGCAGTCTTATTTGGCAACAAAATAGGATTGATATTTGGAAGAACACCACTATGAGCAATCCTAACTCCACCCAGTAATTTCCCAAGCTCCTCATTGTTTCTAATGCCCAATAGAAGATGGCAAGATGCCTTGGAATGATTCTGGTTTTCTTGTTGTCCCTAGCCGCATTTGCAGCTAACTCTAACACCTGCAATAAACAACAATCAAGCAGATTAGAAAAATAATCCATGAATTATAATCTTTATCAAACAAACAAAGCTTCATAAATTAGATCTAAGCTCCATTTTCTTTGTTTAATTCATAATCAAGCCGGTTAACATCAATTTACAATATCCCTAACGCAAATATGTTGCTATTTGTCAAAGACCGGTTTTGAAATCGAAAAACCGGCAAAAATCGGACCCGGAACCGGAACCGGTAGAACCGCCGGGCCGGTTTGGTTCTTGATTTTGGCGAAGCCGGTTCCCAGTTCAGGTCCTGGTCGGACCGGTTCCAACCGGTTCGGTTCTTTTACTCATGCCTACCTGGATAGCTACAAGAAGCACATAAAGTCAACCCACATTAAGATTTTTACACCCAATTTTAATTCGCAAACATATTACAAATGTCGTTTTAGCCAAAAAAAAAAATATAAAAAATAAAAAATAAAAATAAAAAAAAGTAAAATTTGATTAAAAAGGTGATTTCAGTGGTGGTGAAATTTTCGTGTGCTACTAGCGAAAAACATGAATATTTTGGTCAATTTATCTTAACTTTTAACTAAATTAAAAATAGTAAATAAAATTAGCTATTTCTCTTGAACATAATAAATAAACTTTAAATGTAAATAATGATTATGTGTGTTTTAAAAAAAAATATAGATAAAAAAGAATTTTCTCTTATTTAAAAATTAAATAATGGTTCCATTTGAAAATAGTTTGGACACACATTGTAGCCCTTGTGGTTGCGACTTGTGACTTTGTGAGTGTTGGCCTGGTGGGCAACTACCAAAACCCTAATTTTGAAGCAGTCATCAGTCATTTCAAAATTTCAATTTGCGCGCCTCTTCACCTCCACCTACCGACGCTCCTCTCCTCCCTTCCCCCACTACCATTCACTCAGATCTAACTGCAGCTTCGTTAACAAACCCTAACACCCAAATCAATTTCAAAGAAACTCGAAATGGGTGCCGCAGAAAGCCGGGATTTGGAAATCTCCGACTCTGAATCCGAGGAAGAAGAACAGCAGTCTGAAGAAGAAGAAGAAGAAAATTACGAAGACGTCAAAGACCACCATTCACCCTCCAAAACCCCAACGAAGACACCCTCGTCTGTTGACGAAATTGATGCAAAGTTGAAAGCCCTAAAACTGAAATACCAATCTAAGAACCAAACCCTGAAGAATGCCGTTAAGCTTTACATTCATACCGGTGGAAACACTGCTCAGTCCAAATGGGTCGTCGCCGATAAGATCAGTTCATACTCTTTCGTTAAAACGACTATGGAAGAAGACGGAGACGATGAAGAGGGAGATGAAGATCTATATTGGTTTTTGAAAGTCGGGTCAAAAGTTCGGTCTCCTGTTGATCAACAGTTGCAACTGAAGCCGATAATGGATCAGCGACGTATAGATTTCGTATCAAATGGTGTTTATGCTATGAAGTTTTTCAGCATCGAGGATTACAAGGTCTTCATCGACCAATACGAGAAGTGTTTGTTTGAAAACACTTACGGGTTTGAGTGTAATGATGAAAACAAAGCTAAAGTTTATGGAAAAGATTTCGTATCATGGGCAAATCCTGAAGCTGCTGATGATTCCATGTGGGAGGATGCTGAAGACAGTTTCTCCAAAAGCCCTGCTTTCAAGACTCCAGTCAGAGCAAACCATGACCTAAGAGAAGAGTTCGAGGAGGCTGCAAAAGGGGGAAGCATAAAAAGCTTAGCATTAGGAGCCCTAGACAACAGTTTTCTGGTAAGTGATTCCGGTATTCAAGTCGTCAAAAATTATAGCCATGGCATCCATGGAAAAGGGGTTTATGTCAATTTCGACAGCTCCATGAAAGGTCACACCGAATCCACTCCTAGAAAAGCCCTTCTAATGAAAGCCGAAACAAACATGTTGTTAATGAGTCCAATGAGATCTGGGAAGCCACACACCAATGGTCTCCACCAATTCGATATAGAAACAGGAAAAGTAGTCACCGAATGGAAATTCGCAAAAGATGGAACTGATATCACCATGAGAGACGTAACAAACGACAGCAAAGGAGCTCAAATGGATCCTTCTGGATCAACTTTCTTAGGTCTGGATGATAATCGTCTTTGCAGATGGGACATGCGAGATCGACATGGAATAGTTCAAAACCTCGTGGACACAAATACCCCTGTCTTGAACTGGACACAAGGTCATCAATTCTCTAGAGGCACAAACTTCCAGTGCTTTGCAACAACTGGCGATGGATCCATTGTTGTTGGATCTGTTGATGGAAAGATACGATTGTATTCCATCACTTCCATGCGACAAGCAAAAACTGCTTTTCCTGGACTTGGATCACCAATCACTCACGTTGATGTTACTTACGATGGGAAGTGGATTTTAGGAACAACTGATACGTATTTGATCCTCATTTGCACTTTATTTACTGATAAAGATGGGAAATCAAAGACAGGTTTTTCAGGGCGTATGGGAAATAATATTTCAGCTCCTCGACTTTTGAAATTGAATCCTCTTGATTCTCATAGAGCTGGTGTCAACAATAACTTCCGTGGGGCCCAATTCTCTTGGGTATGTTTCAATTTCACCTATGTGTTCATAGATTGTTGTATTGTATAATGTATAATGTATATATGTTTTGTGTTGATTATGGGTATTTTGGTAAATTTGACATAGGTGACTGAAGATGGGAAGCAAGAACGGCATCTGGTTGCTACTGTGGGAAAGTTCAGTGTGATATGGAATTTTCAAAAAGTGAAAGATGGGTCCCACGAATGCTACAAAAACCAAATGGGATTGAAGAGTTGTTATTGCTACAAGATTGTCCCTAAAGATGACTCCATTGTTGATAGTCGTTTCATGCATGAAAAGTTTGCAGTTACTGATTCACCTGAAGCTCCTCTTGTTGTTGCTACTCCAATGAAAGTTAGCTCTTTCAGCATATCTAGCAGACTTTCTTATGCTTAATCAAAAGATAATTCTAGTTTGTTTTTGTTTACATTAAAAAAAAAAAAAGAACTTTCTTGATTATTGTTGTAATGATTAAGGAGAATCTTAAGCACTTAACTACTTACTAGTTGTCGTTTGTTGATGAAGGTGTTTGTTGGTGTGTTTATTTTGATTATTTTGAATGTTTATGAATCAATGGCTGAAAAGGGTTTTTGGATAAGTTGTGAATTTCCATCACATGTTTGGATATTAGTGGGGCCCAAAGAAACCCTAATAACCCTTTTTGGTTTTCTATGCTCGACATTTGAACTTTTCAAGGGCTGTTTTTGATAAGGAGAAAGAAAGAGAAAGAGATGAGTGTTTCAGTTGGGAGAAGCTTAGCATGTTCTTGTTCTTCATCTTCTTTTGTAAACTACAATAGTACAAACAAAAGAGCATTTGGTACAAGTGGTAGATGCTATAGGAGTTCAAGATTCTTGAAAACAGCCATTAAAGCTCAACAAAGACCTACATGGCTTCCTGGGCTTGACCCTCCACCCTATCTTGATGGAACGTGAGCCTTACAAATTACAATACAACATTTGTTGATAGATACTCACTTTGAATCTTGAAATCTTTATTACATTATTTATTTTATATTTTTATTATTATGTAAAGTCTTGTGGGAGATTTTGGGTTTGACCCACTTGGACTTGGAGAGGACCCGAAGAGCTTGAAGTGGTATGTGCAAGCTGAGCTGGTTCATTCCCGTTTTGCCATGGCTGGAGTTGCTGGAATTCTTTTTACTGATGTGAGTTCCTTTTTTTATAGGGTCACACAGTGTCAGAGTTTCGGTTCCAACATATATCAGACTTTTATGCTGTGCTAGTGATTTAACAAATTGACCATCTTTTCCCCATAAACACAAAATGACCAACTATTTTTAAAACGAGTCAATCATGAAATTCCTACAAACCATGAAATTTAGATAAAAGGATGCAAAATGACATCATTTCACAAAAGAATGAACAACTTTGCAATATAACGACAAAATACGATTTTGTTTACATATTCTAAGGTTACTTTTTTATGGTGGAGACCATTCATAAAACAATTTTACAATTCTCAGTTGAACCCATTTTTGTCAATTTTGTGATTATCCCTTATAAATAGTTTTCATGCTATTTTTTTTGGTTGTAGTTGCTTCGGGTAACAGGGATAAGTGACTTACCAGTGTGGTATGAAGCGGGTGCCACCAAGTTCAGTTTTGCGAGTACTAGGACACTGTTCATTGTTCAATTACTTTTAATGGGGTAACTTAATTTAAAACTCGATTTTATTTTATCTTGTATTGATCTTAAAAGTTAAAATCATCTGATTTCTGATTTTGAAACTGAATTTGGAGTTTTGACAGGTTTGCTGAGACAAAAAGGTACATGGATTTTACTAATCCGGGGTCTCAAGCAAAAGAAGGCTCCTTTTTTGGTTTAGAAGCTGCCCTAGAAGGTTTAGAACCAGGGTATAATATAACTCTATAACCATTACTAAAATGACATTTATCAGCTGTTTTGAAATGAAATTTTGCATAACACATTTTCATATATGTAGCCCTCAACAATAAATCTGTTGAAAAATTATCATTTTTTAATTAAAATAAAGTTTATTTATCTAAGAAACTTAAAAAAAATGTTATAAGGTTTTAACGAGATTTTATTATTGTATGGATAATGAAACGTGATCATAAAATGATATGACTTGTTACATTATTATATAATCTTTCTATTCGTTCATAATTTCATTTCAATTCCGAACAAATTAACAGTTTATACGTATGTAACAGATATCCTGGTGGGCCATTGCTAAATCCTCTAGGCCTTGCTAAAGATATTAAAAATGCTCATGAGTGGAAGCTTAAGGAGATAAAAAATGGTGCCAGTTTATTTATTTATTTTTATTTTTTTTAAACCTTTAAATTTGGATTATTTCAGGGTTTTTTGGACTAATTTAATTGATGTTTAAACTTGTAGGGAGGCTTGCAATGGTGGCAATGCTAGGAATAATCGTGCAGGCTAACGTGACACATGTGGGGCCCATCGACAATCTTGTTAAGCACCTATCCAACCCATGGCATCAAACCATTATTCAAACTCTTTCTGGATCTGGTTCTTGACAATATTATAGTTTTATTTTCTAATATATATTTTTTTTTATAAAATGTTAAAAAGGCAATCTCAAAAAGACAAAAACCACCTCATAAATATAAAATTTCAAAAATTAAACCGCAAGTCCTTTTAGTGTTTCAAATATTTATCATTAGTCATCACCATTCATTCAGTTTAAAAACGGAGATTGATTTTATCCGTTTGTCTGTTACAAAAACATTATATATAATTTGTTTCGTTATAACAGGTTCAAAATTCATTGTGAATTTTTTTATCACTCAAAAGGTCAATAATTGAAATTGTTTTCGAATTATTAAACATTAAAAAACTGATTATCTATATTTTTTGAGAATATAATAATCAAATAACGAGTTTTTATTGACAATCCAAACAACACATAGAATGAGTGTGCTTAGTTTACTCAATGTACATAATCTTTTTTCATATAAAATTTAACATCATTCTAACTTCTAATTAAATTTACCTGGTTTTCAACAAATTAAGTTGGTGTTTGGCAAATGAGGTTATTACCTTATTATCGGTTCCACACTGCTATAAGCTAAAAAATGTTTGGATAAAACCAATTTATAGCGGTGACAAACCGCTAATAAATCATTTTTTTATAAGTTAACTCTCTCTGACTTATTAGCTAATAAGCCATAAGTTTTTTTGTCAAACACCCCCTGAATAAAGCTAATGTGATACAAATGGCAACCAACAATATTCAATTTGCTATTTAGGTTACTTAACTTTTAGTTATATTCCGTGCATTGCTAAATTATTTTATTTAGTTCTCATTACACTATTGAAGTAGATTTCAACATGTACAGAATCCTACATGACAACCATGACAACCATTCTGAGTTTAAATAATGACAAAACCTTGTTCATTTAGATCTAACTAACATTAACATTGCATCCATTATTACATCCAACATGAAAAAATTACTAATTAAAATGCATGTTAATGGTGTAATAAGAACACTGAAAAAAGTTTAATGACCAATTGAATACAATTAAATGATAAGTGACCAAAAAATATGAACTAGTCGGATCATAATCCACATACATCTCCCATAATGAGAATAGGATGATGATCTTCATCTTCTCACTACTTGTCGTGTTCCATTCCAACGTGCTACCAACTTCAATGGTTTTCCCGTCTTTCAAAAACATAAAATCCAACATTTTTCGATCATCATGAGGCAAAGGCATTCAGCCCCTTTGAACATCGATGAAGATTGCATATGTTGTGAAGTTGTTGGTTGTAGTAAAGGATATGTCATTGCATATATTGTGTACTTGTTTGTTTCAACCATCATCTCTATCAAGTTTTCAATTCTTTTCAAACTATTTAATCTTGCATCGATGAATATAATTATGAAGATTTGCTTCAAGGTTATGTTTTAAGAACTCATTAGAATAAAATATAACACTTTTGAGTAATTCACACATTTTAAATACTTGAAAAGACTTACTTAAACACAAAGAATCTATAGAAGCAAGTCTACGAGACTATGACCAAATACATACATCAAAAATTTATAGTGCTAGTTAATTTGTGAGTTAAATTGAACAACTTGCAAGTAGGCTAGCTTGTGGAGTGCGATTGCTCGTTGGTAATGTCTCCCTTTCACCCACAATTGCAATTTTGGATATGTTTTATGTGGGCAGATTCCATGTATTTTAAGGACCGAACAAAAAGTAATGAAAACATTTATCATGACAACTTAGTGGCAGTGGCGGATTCAGAAAGAAAAGTCAGACGTCCCACGAATTTACACAAAATTCACAATTATCAGACTTTATGATGGATTACCAACGGATTCGTGATGGATTGTGACAGATTTCCAACGGATTTGGGACGAATTTTCACTAAATTTACATTTGACGGGAAAATTTAAGGGGTAGCCTGTGCTACCCCGTGCAACATAGTAAATCCGTCCATGCTTGGTGGGTTTTATGGAACTTTTATATAATTCCTGTGTATTTGGATCTAATAACTTAGAAATGAAACTATTTTTGACACTATTGTTAGATTCTTGTTTGGATGGTTTGGTAGTAGGAACACAAACTTACAGTCAACTGAGTTGGTTACAAAATTCAGTTAGACATCCATGTGTAATGGCTTCATTTTTCTAGCATTTTAGTAGTGTTTTTATACAATTCAACACTAAAAGAAAAAGAAAGAAAACGAACCCATCTTTTTTATCATTTAATCACAAACAAAATGTGATGCAGAGTATATCACAAGCTTAACAGGGTCTATGTATAAAAAAAAAAAAAAAAAAAAAAAACTTTTAATCCGTTAAGTTTTTTGAAATCCACCTTGTATGAACAAAAAGCTCACACCACAAAGCTCCTCAAAAAGCTTACTCATTTCGCCTTTTTTTTTTTTTTTTTTTTTTTTTTTTTTTTTTTTGTCAAGAGATGTCAACGTGGCAACGTATATTACAACCGAATAAAAAAATATAAAAAACAACTAATAATTATATTTCATTGTCAAACTTTAATGACCAAATCTAAATTGAAAATTTTAAAAGTATACAATATCTTTTCATTGTCTTTTTATATTTCAAATACTTTGAATTATCCCATATCAATCCAACCACGTTAAGAAACTTAATTATTCAGAAAACCATTTTACTTAATATCATTAAACGATATTAAAATGGTAATAACAATTTATCTTATGTTTATTTTGTTTAAACCTAATATTTTAATAACAATGGTTTAAACTTTTTTGTTTTAAAATTGCAAATGTCAATGCCATATTTTATCATTTTATACGTTTCACGTAATCACGTTATATTCAAATTAATAGTTTTGTTATCTACTTTTATAGAAGTGAACACTGAAACAATACACAACTCAAACCCCAATCATATTATGTCCCTCCCTCATCACCCTTTCATACAAATGAATCACAATCATAATTAAAAAAAAAAAAAAAAAACACAATTACAATCACTCAAAACCAACATAATATGTTTACATGTATACAATCAATACCTTCAACATCACCCACTTATCACTTAACCTCTCTTATTCCTTCTCAACAACATAAATATCCTTGGAAAAAACGACCTCTTCTTCTTCTTCATCAAACCCCTCACCTCCGGTGACGATTCCGTCGTATTCCCACCACTTTCCGGCAACACCGTCTTCATTCCGGCTGCCACATTCCGGGGTGGCAAAGGGCTCCCGGGTCCCACACTTTTCACCTCTTCAAAACTCCCTCTCGCTCCCGCTCCCGATTTCCGCCTTTCCTCGTGTTCCGACCTCCACTTTCTCAATTCCTGTTCCGCCCCCAACTTCCCTTCTTTTGCCTTTTCCGCTTTCCGTAATGATGCCTCGAGAGCTCTCTTTCTTTCCGCCAATTCCGACTTCACTTCCTCAAGTTTCCTCAAACTTTCTGATTCCGACTCTTTCGCGATTCCAATCCGGGAGATCGCTTCCGCAACCCTCGCATTCGCCTCCTCCTCCGCTTCATGCGCTTTCTTACTCAACTCGTAATACTCCTCTAACGAAACCGTAACTCCGGAATCCGTGATTCCAGCCCCGGAATCACTCCCTTTTAGCGCCGCAATCGCTGCCAACGCCAACCTCTCGGAAGCTTTCGCCGCTTCGATCTCTTTACGGGCGGCAACTAACCGGCTCACCATCGTCCGTTCTCCGGCCTTCACTTGCTCCACCGTTTCCTTCACTTTCTTCAACTCCTCCCGAGCTTCCGCCGCCAGTGATTTCGCTAAATCCGCCTCTTCCGCCGCCACTTGGAGTTGTTTCGGAAGCTCCACCATCTTCTCCCGAGCCTCCTTCTCCTTTGCTTGAACCCGAGCAATTTCCAATTTCGTCCGGTTTAATTCCGATTCAAGAGACGAAACCACCACCGCCGCCATCCCTTCCCGCTGCTTCACCGCGGTAAGTGCCGCCCGTTCTCTCTCGAGCTCCGATTTAAGCGACCCCGCCGCCGTTTTCAAAAACGCGATTTCTTCTTTCGCTTTCGAAATCTTCTCCTTCGCCGCTTCCAAATCCTTCTTCGCCAATTCCATTCCAACCCCGGAATCATTACTCCCATTACTCCCCAACTTCGATTCCATATAAACCGCCAATTCCGTTTTCAATCCATCTAATTTCAATTTCAAATCTTTATTCGAACCGATTTGTTCGGTGACTTTTCTAATTTCATCTTCCGCCTTTTTCAATTCCCGTTCCCAATTCAACGAATCTTGTTCTTTCGCCATCACAGCTCCAATCCGGTGTTCTTCGGCTTCCAAATGGGCGGCATGAGTCGATTCCAGAGTTTCTTTCGCCATCATGAGTTCAATGGTCAAATTCTCAACCTTCTTCTCGACTTCCTTGGCGGCAGCCGCCGCCGCCCGGGCTCGTTTGCTGGCGACATCCTTTTCCGCCACCAGTAAATCGTAGTCTTTACGGAGGGAATCGAGGTCGTTTTTTACGGTTTCGAGGTCGGAAACCGCCGCTGCGTGGCGGGCTTGGGCGACCTGGAGCTGTGCCTTGGCGGCAACACTGGAATCATCGGTGATTCCTTGTTCCATTTCTTGGACTCTTAGTTTTACTAATTCGGAATCTTGTTTGGCTTGATGTTCTTCAGTTTGGGCTCTTTCTAGGTTTAGTTTTAGCTCTTCTATGAGTCTTTTTGTGGTGTTTAGCTCTTTTAGGGTTTGTAGTTTAGCTTCTTCTGCAGATTCGGATTTTTTTTTGAATAATGGGATTTCTTCGTTTGCTTTCTCGAGTTCTTGTTCGATATACTTGCGTTTCTACAAGAAATAGCATCATATTATAATATTACACTTTAAACTTTTTTCTAATTAAAGGACTAAACTTGGAAAATAAAATCTACCCATTTATAGGAGTGAAAATTTGCTATAATTAAATAGATTTTTCAAAATACAATTTTCTATTAGGAAGAGTGAAAGTAGAATGCTATAATAACAAATAACAAATCAATGGAAGTACATTGCCATTTCTTGCATTCAACTCGTTTTTAAGGCAAAGTGATTTGATTGGCTAGTGACAATTTTAAAGACTTTGGATGTATAAAAGTCAAAATTCATTGACCAAAGAGAATATCTTTTTAAAACATGAAAAAAAGATGTTGAAGAAGATAATAAATACCTCAACAGTCTGAACTTTATGGGCTTTCCAGTCAACGATGCCACCAAATTTGGAAACAGCTTCTTTAACAGATTCAAAAGGTGCAGCTGTGTCAATATCACCTACTTTTGGGCCCATGTTCTTGACTTCTTTAGCAATATTATCATTGGACACAACTAAAGAATCCCCATTTTCTCCTTTTGCAAGTAATACAGGTGATTCTGGATTATTTGGTTTTTCTGCAGATGTTTCTGATGGAACTGCTGCTTCTTGAGCAAGAGATTCGCCCATGGGACTATCTTTTTCTGTTGGGAAATCATCAGGTTTTGATTCTGTAGGGGTAGAAGGATTATCAATGGAAGTTTCTTGTTCAGTTTCAGGTTCATCAGATGTATTCTTTAAGGGTATCGAGGCATCTGAAACGGGTTTATCATTTGGTAAATTTGTACTACTTTCACCATTTGTAGTTGAACCCTCTTCAACAGCTTTTATTTCATCCATTCCAGAAAAGTCAGATCTGAAATTTCAATAATCAAGTAATATAGTGCCTATCAATGTTGGGATAAGCATTGTAAAATGACAAATGAAACCATGTTGGGGAATAACAACAGAAAGAATATATGATACAATTCAAGGTAAAAGATCAAAAAGGGCATCAAAAAATTGTAGTTATGACAATGGACATGTAGGTAATTTGCATGGGACATCTTGAATGAAATTATTTTTGCAACCTTCATGAGGTGGAGCCAGATGAAGTACATCAAGAAGATTCAACTACTTCATTTACTTTCACATACCTTCCAAAGTACAAAACCTTTCTCAATCATCAATCTTCCTACTCCACCTCTTTTTGTTAAAATTAGCAATATAGTAGGAATATCATATAAGGAAAAAGTTCATCGGCCAACAGTAAAATCCAGTGAGCATCTGAATATCCTTGCATCGAGGCCTATTTGTAAAGGGGACAAGGGTTTAGCGATTTGAATACTGTTTAAACGCGAAGGCGATTGGCAAATTGGATTATTGGAATGACTCGAATGTTCATAAGGCTTATAAGCAATCATCTCTATAATTAACTCCGAACATAATACATCGACTAATCTCCCTACATCATACCAAAAACATCGAGCTAAGAAACTAATTCAGAACTTAAAAACGCAACAATCAAACAACGAATAATTCCAAATCTAATAGTTTCAAATCAAAGAGATGGAGAAAGATGTGTAGACGGCATACCAGTAAACCCTCGGAGTCAAATCCAGGGGCTTAATATAAACTTATATCCTGATATTAGCCCCAATAACTCAATTGACTCCAATAAATCAACGATTATAGCGTCAAACTCACTGTAAAGAGAAAACCTAAATCAACATGATGATTAATTACTGTAAAAGAGATTGAACAAAAAGTAAAAGTGAATTTGAAGGAACATACACGGTGGAGCCTACCTCACAACGGATTTCTTTTTGTTTTAATTAATCAGCCTCTTTTGCTTCAATCAGTAGCTCCTCGATATGACGATTGACGAAGGTTGTAAGAATTCAAAATTCAATGGATAATCGAATACAAGTGTGTGCGTTGATGAAGGCGACATACATAATCCGAGAGGCATGAGAGCTGTCTTTTTTAATTTTGTAATGGATATTTAGTTAAAAGAAAAAAGAAGTCGTATTATAAATTTTGGATGGTGGAGAGCAATCAGCTGCCTTTTCTTCATATTATGTGGAAAAGTCGCCGCCACACACCTAATTCCCACGCGGACACTCTGACTCCGAGTCTGACTTGCTGTTATTTTTGGACTTTTCGTAGGTTTGTGTATCTCATTTTATTCAATCAAATCTGAAAAATGAGGTGAGTATGTATTTTATAAAAGTTTTTTCCATATAACTCAACATTTTAACCATGAAATTTAAAGATTTATAGAATGACTATGGGATCCGCAGAGGGGCTCTACGGAACCCATTTACCCTCTGCGGAAATAGGAATATCATTGAGGAATTAAGTGATAGGGTTAATATTGTAAATTCACTAAAAAATAACATGCTCCTTACTTCTTTCGCCGCGGAAACATAAACCGGATTTCATTAGAGGGAGGTTGCTGCGGAAGACGAAAACGAAATTGGGAAGACGAGATTGTTGCATCGCCGGACCAAGGAGCGAACAAAAGGGAAATGGTGAGACGATCCAAGAAAGTGCAAGAATTACATGATGATGTCTTATCTGATGGGTATGAAACTCACGTAAGTGTTATCCTTGTTTTGAAATTCTATGAAACCCTAATTAGCTAATAACGTCAATTTTTTTATTTTAAAAGTGTGTTATTGAATCAATATTATGTTGAGAATTATGTTATGTAGGGTGTATGATATTTTAATAGATTAGAAAAAGTTTGAAAATCGTGACTCTGCCATTGTTACCTGAAGAACAATTCCTCAAAGGTGTGGTCTTGAAGAAAAGATCCACAAAGGCCTCTGCAGATTATTATTATTATTATTATTTTTTTATTATTATTTTTTTTACGATTTTGAATTTGTTGTAAATGTGATTGGGATTGTGTTAATAAACAATGTTGTAGGTGTGATTGGGATTGGGTAAATGTGATTATGATTTTTTATAACTATTTAAAATAACAATGTACTTTAATAAATTTAGGTTAATTAGCTTAGTTTAGGTTAAAATTTATTACTATTTAAAATAACAATGCACTTTGCTAATTGATGAAATTTATATTTTAAATCGTGTAACAAAAATTGTCCCTCTTGTATAGTACATTGCTATATCGTTTAAAGGAAATTATCTTATATAGGTTAGGTTAGGTTTATATTTGTAATTTCTAGCATTCTTGTTGATTTTAGGTTTAAATTTATGTTATATAGCTTAGTGTAGGTTAAAAGTTATAACTATTTAAAATAACAATATGCTTTGATAAATTTATGTTATATAAATTAACTTAGTTTAACATTTATAACTATTTAAAGTAACAATGTATTTTTGACAAATAATGAAATTTATGTCTTAAATTGTGTTACACAAATTGTCCCTCTTGCATAGTACATTGCTATATCGTTTAAAGGAATTTGTAGTATTGATGTAATAATTTGGAAGAAGGGCATTTAAGTTTTTATTTTTTTAACTGTTGTCATATATGTGTTATCTTTTGTGGCATAGTATGCGTGGATGGCCTGTACAATTAACTTTTAGATGAGTGTGGGGACTATCTCGAGGAATTTCATTCAAAGACTAAATACTAGACAACTTGAATTATTTAGAGATACACCGTTTGGGACATTCATTGGTATGCCCACCCTGAATGGCGACCCAATGTTATGTCATTTGATGATGTTGCATGAGGTTCGCGATGTGGTGGTAGACTGGTAGCCAGGGTTGGGAGGTTTCAGTTATAGGGCAGTGTCGTCGATTATGGTGAAACTGAATTTTTTTTTATTAACGATTTGAGATTTGGCCCTTATGTTGATGTAATCAATACAAAACGCAACACAAAATCTTTATTACGGAATCGATTGTTCCCAAATATAAGATATGAAGATTTACGGTTGAAAGATATAAAAGACTACATAAAAGGGCCAACATTCTTGACTTGTAGCGATGATGAGGTGGTAATGCTTATACAAATATTGTTTTTGTTGAAAAGTCTCATAGGACGGGATACAAATACATGCATTTCGCTGGTAGTTTATGAGCTCGTTGATAATGTATATAACTGGAACAGGTACTAAATTTAGTATTTATTTATAACTACAAAATGATTTGTATTAATTATAATGAGTACGACAGGTTAGCCTGGGGTACATTTTGGTGGCGCTATAGTGAAACACAATTATGTCTCGTGTTTAAAAAATCCACAAATATTTACGAGATCAGGAGAATGTGGCTAGCCAGAAGATGTCGACGTATACGGTGACCGGTTTTCACCTTCCATTTAAGGTTTGTGTTAGGTGTAATTACTATTATACATTACCGATTAAAGTGTATATAATTATCGACAAATCATTATTGATTAAAGTTATATTAGGTATGGATTTTGGAGACATTTCCAGAAGCTTTGAGGTATGCACATCACACCGCAAATGAGTTTCCAAGAACGAGGGCATGGAGAATAAAAACACAACTAACTATCGAGCATTGTTTACATATATTAGACATGTCGAAGCCTGTATTTTTTCAACTATATTTTTACAACAATAGCCATGATATGAATCGGGGTAGACTCTCCGAAGTGCATAATCTATTGACTCATACATATGACTTACGAAACCAACTTGTGTACTGTCATATAAACATTCTTTCACCCTACTCATGAACTACACCCATGACTCGTCATAGTTTATGGTTCCCAAAGCAAATGTTATGAGAAGGGGTTCATGATTTCCATCTAAAGAACTTGCAATGTACACATGACCATAGAATATGATTGGTATCATAGGTGCTAGAAACGTACGAACATGCAAGTAAAGATAAAAATATTATGCATATAACAACTTCAAATAACTAAAAATTACTATAAAGGGTTACATACCACACATGCCAAAGGCACAAAACAAAATTGAAAATGATCTGTCGAATCTTTCTTAATGCATGTGAAGGTATTATGATTGGTTCTTTGCATAATATGAAAGAATATCGGTAGGTTGGAAAAACGTTTTTTTAAAACCTCATTTAATGAACTCATTTTAACAACTTTCGACAACTTGTAAAGATTAAAATGTTTCTCCAATTTAAATGGAATCCATTTCCATTATTCTACATTACTGTTACGGAATCCGCAGAGGTGTTGGGGAACCCACAGAACTATTTGGGAATCTGCATACCTATTTGTCAGTCTGCATAACTATATGGAAATCCGCAGAACTGTTGGGAAATCCACATAACTTTTTGAAAATCTGCAGAGCTGTTTGTCAGTCTGCAGAACTGGATGGAAATTCGTAGAACTATTGGGAAATCTACAGTACAGTTTGGGAATCTGTAGAGCTGTTTGTCAGTCCGCAGAACTGTATGGGAATCCGCAAAACTATTTGGGAATTCGGAGAGCTGTTGGTCAGTCCTTTTTTCTTATTTAACTACAACTTAAATATTTAATAAACTCGCACTGGTATTCAGAAATTTAGAAATGGACTCCAATGAACCAACGTCTACCAATGCAGCAACACCATCCAATACTGCATGTCCATGGATGACAAGAGATGTGATGGCCATAATACGATGTTGGTTGAACGTTTTCGAGGGTGTAACAACAATGGTAACCCCTGATTACCTTGGAGGTGATGAATGGACCCGCATAACACGTATGTTCAACCTCTCATTAGGACCATGACAACAACGAGTACAAACAAATATTGTTTGTAAGTGGATGGAGTTAAAGGAAAAAATCACATGGTTCAATCGATAATATCATCATATTAAAAATAGTAATTATTATTATGCAGACGATAAATATCTCTTACAAATTGTTAAAGATCATTACATTTTCGAGCATGAGGGAACTGACTTCGAGTATGTAATATCCCAAAGTTCAATGCTAAAAATTTCATTTTTAAATAAGTTATTATAAAACCATAAGTAATAAAACATCCATAATAACATCTCATGTCAAAAACCAAAGTTTCAATAGTCAAACATGTTATCATGAAATAATATTAGAGTGTAATTCCAAAGATCTCATGTGCAGAAAACATAGTGTGATGCATTGCGATCGAGCCGGCTCCTTTCCTTTGAAAACGAAGTACCTGAAACTAAAACTGAAATACGTAAGAACGAAGCTCAGTGAGTTCCCCCATCATACCACTTACTATACTAAACACATATTGCCAGAAAATTCTGGAGTGCCCGACCTACCTTGCCAAGCAATTCTGGGGTGCCCGACCTACCTATGTCAAGCATTTGTAGGGTGCTACACCTACCCTGTCAGGCCATTATGGGGTGCCTAACCTACCCTCCGGTTTATCTTAATCGGCTACGTGGACTATTTCACCCCTATCACCACTACATAACAACATAACAAAAACATATTATCAGACATATCTGGGGTGTCCAACCTACCCTTCGGTCCTAACGACCGTAACACAGGGACTACTCCCCTCCTACTACCACTATCACATAACAACATAACATAGTAGCACATAACACATAACAGATAGCGACATACCAGGTAGTTATCACAAAGATAATGTAATATATAAATTCCCAGGTATCTTATTTTATGCATTTATATTGAATTTTAGAGAGGGACTCGGTGAGTAGGTGCTCAGACTCGCCGAGTAGGATCGCGCATGGTTGGACTGATTTAATGGCGGACATTGCGAGTCCATGCGTGGACTAGGAGAGTCCACGCTACTTAATGAAACCCTAATTCTCGGGGTTTAAGCCCTATTTAAAGACCTTTAAAGCCACCATTTGCGGCTATCAGACCCCTGAAAAACCCTAGAGAGCAGAGAGGAGGCTTTTAGTGCAAGAGGAGGGATATTTCATCATTCTAAGTGTGATTTTGCAAGAAAGAAGGAAAGAGGACAATCAAGGAAGGTTGAGGAGCTCAGATCTATCATCCATTTCATCAGAGGAGGCTACTAGAGGTGCTAATCTATGCTCAAACTCATGTATTTGGTGTTCTAGTTGAATCTAGGGTTTTCTTGTGCATTCTTTGGCTGGTTTCGAAGTATGTGAGGTCCCAAGGTGGAGTTCTTCTTAGATATGGACCTTAAGAGGTCCAGAGAGTCCTATTCACATTGCTTTTTGCTACTCCATTAGAGATATGGCCCTAGGTTGCCATTTTAGGGGTTATTTCACCCAAAGAAGCTTTTTGGTCATTGCATGAGTGTAAAGGTCAGACCTTTACATGATTATAGTGGTTGGGAAGGCTAGATCTATGGATTGGAGGAAAATATCTGGCCTCAAGAGGTAATTTGAGTTTGAGCATGGCAGGAACTCACCGAGTCCAAGAACAGACTCGGTGAGTAGGATAGTTTATCCCCATGAATCACACAGTTGGTGACTCGCTGAGTTGGGGAAGTGACTCAGTAAGTCATTGGGGATTTCTAGGACTTGAGTTCATGACTGAACTCGCCGAGTCACAATTGTGCACTCAGCGAGCCTGGTCAAAGGGTTGACCGTTGAATTTTGTTGACTTTTAGGGTTTGGTCA